TCATACAACTCATCGCTGAGACCGTTTTCAATGTCTATGGCATCTAAGACAAGTTTAGAATAGACACAGATTATAGCAGAGGTTAAATTAAGTGTGCTTGTGATCCTGGGTCGCCAGTGATTAAGGGAATTCTCTACTGATCGTATCTCGTTTGTTTATGAACAGAACTCACTGGAGATCGAGTTGGTGTGTTTGCACATGTGTGAACATGTGGGACCCATGTCAGCAACGTGCCAGAATCTTTGTCTCCATTATCCACAAGAGACAGTAAAACAGATGTTAAGTGTTTACCAAAACATCCCCATGTAACTTCAGAATGTCATTAAATTGACAAGGCAGGTTGCCTTTCTTCTTCTTTCCCTGTTAGTATGCTGGCAATCGTTTTGTGCGTTTAGGTATTGAGCTTCTCACTTTTACTTTACACTAAAAACACAACCCCCCCTTTCATCCTCTGAACTGGTTTAAAAACATCTTAGATCAGGATAAAAGGGAAAGTGCACAACTCCCCGCTGCCTCTGACGTGGAGGTATTGAGCAGAGATGCCAGCAGCCCACTTAATGCTAAATACTACAGTCTTTTATCTTGGTGGGAAAAAAAAATACAGTGAGCTGAGAGCATAAAAAGAAGCACTTATCTCCTCCTGGTCACTAATGGTGGTGACAGTGTTGGCCTCATGTAATGTTCAGGGGCCTTTCAAGTTCTAAAATAGACTTTCGAAGAAAGGGGTCAAGAGCAAAAGTTAGACAAATGGGGTGTGAAAACGCCTGCCTTCAATAATAAAGATGTACGCATTGAAAAAGTTAGGACTTAGTGATGGAAAACCCAACCAACTTAAATGTATTCGATTGTATTTGACACTCAGTTTATTTTAAATTCTGAATTTTAAAAAATCTGACCAATAGGATAATGTTTTTTGAAGTTAAATTAGAGAGGCAATAAAGTATTTTTACCTACCTTTTTTATTTACCACTACATCACTGACTGTGGAAATGCAGCCAGATGATAGAGCTCTGCAGCCACCAGATACTCTGCTGCTGTTCCCTGGAAGGAATGTATGTTGGTGTTTTCTTCTGGTTCGAGTCCCACATTTGCATAAATGTGGCAGGAAGTCAGACCAGGGATGGACATTAACACCCGCCAAAATGCAGGTGGATTTTCCGTTTGGCGGCCAAATGTTGGAAGGCTACCTGCCACATTGGCAGGTAAATATATTCGGCATATCATTTCTATTTGACGGCAATTAGCAGCAGACCAGCGTTCTTGTTGGTGGTGTGTTGCACTTAAATTGGTCGCCAATGTGCCAAAGTATCTAAAATCGTGTACCACACGGATTAGGGGCGTTCTTTGGTTGTTGTTTGTTATTTTCATGTTACTTGTGTTTGATTGGCGTAGATTTGTAATGGGGTGGGCGTTAGGGGACAGTAGTCGGGAGGGGAGAGTGAGAGTTTAGCCGCTTTCATACGGAGATTAGCATGGAAAGAATATCCGCAAATATGTCGCATTCATTTCTTCATACCAAACAAAAGTTTGCAGCTTTACTTTACTACTTTACTTAAAAACCTAAACTGAATGTTACGAAGAAAACAGCGGCAGGTCTAGGCTACTGTAGCGTTATCTGGCTGCCCTGGCTGCATCACTACAGGCTAACGTTAGTGAACAAATCACTCCACATTTGCTTTTTTGCCGTTATATCCTTTCTTGCAGGCTAAATCAACAGTGGTACACAGGATAGTAACATGGGTCGCGTTAGTTGGTGAAGGAATGTGGAAAGCGATATAACTTTGCACCGGATAACATTAGCAACTGCTCGGCGTTAGCCGGCGAGCTAACGTGACTTTCTCTGTGTTTGTCCAGCTTTACTAATGCTCACTTTGTTCTTACTCGACATCATCTGAACCTGTTTGGTCTGATGGGCTTCAGCACATAAACCTTTATTGTTGTTTTGTATCCTTACGTGGAGCCTGTGTTTTGCTGTGAGCCGGTTGTTTTATGGTGTTAGTGGACTGCATGCCGTTAGCTGCCGTGTTGTTGCTGTAGTTTGAGAAACGCTCGGGAGCGTGCACAGGGCTGAATCCGAGTCCCCACATTAGAATAGAATAGTGGCTGATGCAACCAACGGAGAAAACAGGTGTGTGCTTCATTTCTGAGTTTTGAGCCCATTGACAATAAAAATCCATTCATGCCATAAAATGTGCTCAAATAGTGGCTGAAAGACTGAATCCCAACATTTAGGCTACAGAAAACTCATGACCTGCGCCCACATCGCTAAAGGTGGGGCGGAACATGACTACAGTCTCTAATAGGCTAGATAACGTACGATCATATTAAAATTTAGTATTTCAATATCCCTACCAAACTGCTCATAATATTCAGCCTCACATAAGAAAAATGAGACCCATTTATTTTAACAGCTGTGAAACGGATTGGGAGCAAATAAAAAAATAGGCTATTAAACACATTTCAAAGCAGTAAGTAGGCTCAGCCTACTGTAAAAACATGTAGGCAACAATAGCCTGAGGCTTTTAATCAGTCTCTGTAGGACGATATCGCTAGACAAGAGTTTCACTGCAAACATAAAGCAGCCTATAAACCAGTCTGTGGGATTTCTTACAGATGGTGATGTCATTTTCCAAGAGAGCTGATTGGTCAGTAGGCGGCGTTTTCATAGAGTTGATCTCTTATCTGGAACATAACCTGCTCCAGAGCAGATAAAAGTGGGTGGAGTTTTCTCTTGTAGGCTGCAGCGACGGTCCACTTTTGGGCTTGTTGAGCTGATCCTTGGTAGTGTTATGGCGAACGTGGGTGAAGCTTTTAGCTTAGGAGCATGTCTGTGGTTTTGCTAGTCGCTCCTCCAAGCCAGCTGTCATTAGTGCACAAATACCCACCACAAGTAGCTGCGTGAAGACTACGGATGAGTTAGTTAGCTGGGTTGATCTCCATACCGGGTGAGGGTTTGTCCTCTTTGTGCGCATGAGGAAGCTGCACTGTCTTGCTGGATCTGTTGCTGTGGTTTTGAAGTGCCAGTTGTAGTTTGTTGTAATGGCAGAGTGTGATGCGTTTATTGCAGCTCCGTCTGAAGAGGCGTTGGAGCGTTCTGCTAAGGAGCAGCTACTGAAGATTGCGGCGCACTTCTCGGTAGTGGTAGGCGACAAACGCCTCCAAGAGAACATCAGAGTAGCTCTGTAGTCATAGAACAAGGCCCAAACAAAAGAAGCGCTGAACGCAAAATAGGTTAGTGACCTGAGGTTAGTAAACATGTTTAGCTCCACATTGGCCATCTAATGTTAGCTTGCTTTTTACTTTAGCTACGTCCTACCGGAGGTTAGATCCGACCGTAATTCGTTATGAAAATGTGAATGAGCCATTGTTTACTTGCTGAACTTGAGGTGGTCGATTAACGTAATTATTTACGTCCCACTGGCTGCCAACACGTTAATTATTAACGTCGGCTGCAAACAGGTTACAGGTTTATTGTTATCATGCAAAGTTACAGTTTTATTTAGTTTGTTACACAGTTACACATACAGTTTGTTTGAGAGTCTGGGGGATGTGTTGACCTAAAGTAGTTTAAGCTGTCTGAATGCATTGTTCATTACATGTTTGTGCTCTGTGAAAAACAGGTTACAGGTTTTTGGTTGATGATGCAACGTTACAGTTTTATTTAGTTATAACACATGGTTTGAGAGTCTGGGGGATGTGTTGACTTACAGTAGGCTAGTTAAGAAGCTGTCATTAATTGCAAAAACACTATCTTTGTAATAACAAACAACAGCTGTTTTGTGTGTAGGATCGCATCATCAGGTGACGGTTGTTGTAAGCTCATGTAGTGTGTGACCTCCTGTCACCGATCAGTCACGTAGTGTGAACGCCACAACAACTTCAAGACTCCAGTCACAAGACGGCAAGTTGTGTAGTCTGAACAGCAGGGCAATCTGCCGACGCTGAAAGTCGTGTAGTCTGCACGAGCCTTAAGGAGATCAGGAAGCAGTGTAGCCTGTGGGTACTTTGTACAAAATGGCTTGTTGTTGAGGAAATGGTTGACTCTGGGTACTTACTTTGTTGGAGATGCTGTCGTTCAGCTGGTGGTACAGACTATATGTTCTCCTCTTGTCTTAAACCCGCACATGATGAGAGTGGGCACTTGGGTGTGAAAATAACTTAACATCATGAGGCATTTCTTTTGGCCGCGGATGAAGAGAGGTGTTGGAGCATACATTAAGACACGTCATGTGTGTCAGCTAACAGGAAAGCTGTTAAACCTGCTCCATTACAACTCATTCTGGTTGTGAATGAACCATTTGAGCACCTAATTGTGGGTCTGTTTCAATGCGCTAAGTCTGACTGATGTGTCAAAATACTCGGTATCCTGCTGTGTATCTGTTGAGGGCAATTACCACTAAGACGGTAGTGAAAGGTCTAAGTCCGTTCATTTCGGTCTTTGGCATTCCGAAGGTCATCCAGAGCGTTCAGGGGGCGTTCCAATTCTCTTTGCACATATTCACGTTGTTGCGTCACTGGCATGCTGCAACGTAACACTGCACCCTTCAATCTGTGAGCTCAAGTAGCAGTGATTGAATTTAATACGATTTGAAAATAGAAGACAAACCTAGGTGCCAATATTTTTATCCAGTCCATTTTTCAACAACTACCAAATAAACATGAGAATACCAACAGTTTTCTGTAGTAGTGCATTATGTGACAGACCTGCAAGGTTTGACCACGACTATATAAGTTAACTGTTGTAATAGAGTAGGTTGAAGCAAGTGTTGACAGTACTAGTTAGTTGTAAAAGAACTGTGTTTTGGGGTTTTGTGTAATTATATAAACATTTATTCATTTAGATGACACTTTTATTGAAGCGTAATTTAAGTATTATTAACTCAAGTTGTTGCTCTGTGTTTTTTCATTCTGTTTGTCCACTAAGGTCTCGATGTATCTTATCAGCAGTGCCATCTGACCAATGCAATCCCACAACACCAGAGGTAAGAATACGCACAGCATTTTACATTCAATTACAATACGAAGAGGCATCAAAATGTTTTAATTGTAAATGTACAGATTTATGCTATATGGACAAAAACAGTGTGGTGAGCTGCCCTTTGTTTATATAAGTCTCAACAACAAACTGGTGCAAAATGACATGAAAACAAACCTAAATGAAAGCAATCAGGCTTGATGTTTAGACAAATGTGTGTGCAGAAGGACATCTGTGTATATGCAGTCAATAAAAAGTGAATTTACAATATTCAATAACAATTTAACACAGCTGGAAAAGGGAAATCCCTTTTGTCATCACAAAACTTGCTAGGATATGCATAAAATATATATTTGGAAATGAAAAGACACTGAGGGTACAAGCAGAAAAGGGAATATCGCACAGACCTGTTCTGTAAAATCAATTTTCATTTTTCTGTTAAAAAATAAATAAATCCTTAGTGCATTTGTAAAACTTAACTAAATTTGTGTTTAATTGTAACTTTGCATAATTAAAACATACTGCGTAACGAGATACGTTACATAAAGTTTGTGTATCACAAATAAACAGGCATAAGATTTACTGGAGGTCGTGAGGAAAACATGTATAGTGTAGCTTCACAGTATATAAATGAATTAATACATACATGAATACCATCAGTAGTATGTGTTTGATGATACAGACCTTCAAGGTTACATCGCAGCCCACAATAAACATTACATTTGGATGATCAGTTGCATAATATTATTCCACAGAGGGTCCTAATGTACTGGTAAAGCATTTAATTATAGTGCATATACAGATGTGTAGAAGGCCCAAAGCTACAGATAATGGACCCTTTTCCATTATAGAGGACCTGAGCAGATATCAAAATAGTGGTGGTGGTGGTGGTGGTGGTGGTGGTGGTGGGGGGGGGGACAAGAAATGCATGTATTTCATTAAGGACACATTTCTACAGTTGCATCCAAAGATGTTTGTAGCAAGATGCAGTCCTCAAGAGTAGTAGTATTTAAAAGGAGACCTCAAGCAAGCAGCACCCACTACAGTGTTTTCCATTGATCTCGTTAAGTCCATGTTGTTCTTTCCAGTTTGGCTCACTGAGGCAGATTGTAAGTCGGGAGGACTTCATTTCAATTCAGTTAATTTCAGTTCAGTATCTTTCTCAGGAGCTCAAAGCCATTTAGTTTGGTTTACTGGTGTAAAACAAGTATTTTTCCTCTGTCAATATGGCAAACTGCATGACAGACAGACAGACATGTAGTACCCCGGAGGATGCCGAGCCACATGGCATGGAAGTGGAAAAGCCTGCCAGCTCTCGCAGTAAAATTCTGACCCGAGCTGTAGTGTAGAAGCACATCCTTGTTCTGCAGGTGTCCAATATTTGTTTGTTTTCCTGGCTCATCGGGACCAACATGTACACACACAAGGGACAAAAAGAGCAAGTTTTCCATCTGATCCAGGGGAGAACGGGACCCCCCCCCCAGTTTGGCCTTTGTTTACAATACGTCCCTTTTGTTTAAAGTCAATAAAAATATCTCCAGTGAAATTCCTCTGGTGGCACAATGGATATTTTATCACCTCTTTGGGGGCATCCGGTTCACACACACGTCCCTTGGTGGTGCACGGTGAGTTTGCGGTGCTTCAGACCCAGGCCTCTTTCTTTGAAGTCCATCACGCGCTGTTGTGATGTGTCTACCAGAGCACTGGCTATAGCGATACCTAGAAGCCGAGACAGAAAAGAGAGTTAACAGAGAAATATACAGCATGCTAATTTTATTGTAGGTGACCTGTTCAAGTGAAGCCACGGCCGTTCTACTTAGGTGGTCATTGGTTAGCAATAATTAAGCCATATCAACTGTTATGTTTACTACATTGACTAAAATAAAACAAGGTATGTTGCCGTTTGTAACATCCTTTAAATTTACTTTTTCAATATCTTGGTCACACCCTTTCACGCATAGTGGTCACTACAGTGGACAGCTGTTCTGATAGTCTAGTATAGTGGACACTAGTGCATCATGCCACACACTGCCACCCTCTGGTAAGCCGTTGTAAGTGCAATTTAAATTTGTCAAAGCCAAGATGGCCGATGAGAGATGCTGAGCAGCTCGGGTAAATCTTGCCACTCTCTTTTATGTTGGGAGGAAATTACGATTAATCATCTGTCCACTAAATTGGACATTATGCATCGTTGGCTATATTTCAGCTACAATTAACTATTACTGAGACTTTGTTTTTCTTAAATGCTTCACGTGCAATAACTTTTGGATGTAAATCAATGGATTTATGTTTGTTACAAAAACTGCAAGATTTACATTCTAACAATATTTGGTTTTTCCATTGCATTAAACGGTATTAGAATGTTAAAACATGTGACCACATTAGTGTAACAGCATTAAAAATATAGGTTTCACATACTACATTTAATTCATCGGTCTGTGAAATACATTTTTCTTCATTTGAAAACTTACGTGCACGCTGTCCACCTTTTGTGGGGAAAAAAATGTGTTTAAAAAATTAATTTCCAATTTTGTTTTTCATGCCTAAAGAGCAATAAAAACACCTAAGAAATAAATCCTGACAGAGGCTGTCATAATTCATGCACAAAAGGGTTTAATTAAATTAGAGCTAAATTAAATGTACAGGTAAACTATGACTTATGATATTTACAGTAAATATCTAGGGTACATCTTCACTACTATGTTTTTGTTTGAGTTTTTAAAGTCCTCCGTTTTCATCTGTCCACACAAATACGCTACCCTGGAGTTTTAAAACGAAAACGGGGTCAGCAGTGTTTTCAGACTTCTCCGCTTTAGGTCTTCGGATTCACTGTTTTAGTCTAGTCGTGAGGTGCAAACGTAGCAGAAGATCTGCGTTTTAAAAGTTAGTAGTGTGGATGTAGCCTCAGTCAGGAGGGCAACCTGCGCTTTGCCGATATTTGGCGCCGTCTTTTGTGGAAATACATATACAATATTGTATGTATATAAATAGTTATAATAGAAAAATGAGACACACTGAACCTGCAAAGTAATATAAAATATTAGTGCTTAGAGCTAAATTTGGTGGTCCGCAAGGTACTATTGTGGGTTCCCTTTGTTTTCTGTGCACACATTATTAACATGATCACAATTGTACCTGCACCAATGTTATCTAGCTATGTAAAGTATTTTTTTTTTTTTTTTATCTGCAAGTTTGGAAAGTGACTCAATCATGTTTCATCAACTGAGAACTATCAAATAAATTACATTGAAAGTATTTATGGATTCCCAATTATTTCTTTTGCGTTTTCTCTAGGTAAATTCAATATTGAGCTATGAAGGCCGACAGAAAAGAATGGCCCAAAAGAAAGCCAAGAGGGCGAACTAAGAAGTGAAAAGCACGTGAAAAAAGAATACAGTGATGAACAACAAAGCAGAAAGCCTCAGCTGATGTGTGGCAGGTGGAGACGCATCATCCTACCAGCAGGCACCTCAACACAACATCCAGAAAACATTTTATCAATGCGTCTCCAGCCATTGTTGTTTGGCTTCAGCAGGAGACAAGGGTGTAACGCTGAGGTCACTGAGGCATGTCTACCACCATCATCCTGGCTCTTTCCTTTTTTCAGCCTGCCTCCCTCTCACTGTCCATCAGGATGTCATACCTCTCTCAACACAACTTCTGTATCTGATGTTTGACTCGCTCTCCACAGCAGGACTTACAGACAGCAGGCCGGCTGCACCGAGGCATCAGATGCCTCCAAGCATTGTGTTACCTTGGCAGTAGCTGCTGTTGTTAATGTGGATTGAGAGGCATCTGATGGCAGCTCTTGCAAGTGCAGCTAGTCCTGTCTTTCCCTCCCGACAACCGTGGGCTTGACAAAGCATGGTCATTACGACAAGAGCTCAATCTGCTGGTATGCAGGAGCCAAATAAACAAAACAGGCAAACAGTGGAGGGAATCTGCTGCACTCTCGATATGATTTGGATGCAGGATGTTTTCAGCATTTCACACTCAAGTGATTCTTAGGATTTTTTTTTTTTGTAGGTGGAAAAGGGAAAGCCGATTACAAAGTTGCTCAGAGTGCGCCTGTGTGTGTGTGTGTAACTGTGTAAATACTGTAGGTGTGTGCATGCACCTGTGCACATAACATTTTTGTACAGTTCTGACACAGCAAGCCATATAAACAGATATGGCAGCCAATAGTTGTGTGCTTTCTTCATCCAAAACTGAGGGAAGGTGATTGGCTAGCAGCAGCTGGTCGGTTGGAATATGGTTCATTATGGCTGTTTGTTTCACTTTGGCAGTGGGTTTATAGGTGTTTGTTTTGGCTACCACAGACAATACCTTAGACTTTGGCTTTCTGTCACTATGGTAATTTGTGGTTTATTTTAAAAACCAGTAGGGCTTGTTTGCAGATCTGCTGTGTATTTCAGGAGTAAACACACCTCCATAAGTGTTTGTGCAGTTGCCACTTTACTTCTTTGCCACTTCAATGCACTGCCACTGAGCTCATGTGCTGCTTGTTGTTTTCTTTTCATGTGAAGTTGTTCATTATACTTTAGATTACATTTATTTAACTGTCATGTTAGCACCCCACCTTTTGCTATTTGAGAGCAGGTGAGTTTTCATAAAAAGTTGGGAACCGAAGCCAGAGTTTCCCACAGAATGACCTTGTAACTGTGACGCGTGCGGGCGATGTTAGCTACCAGATACAGCGTGTTATCCTCGAAAACCCAGCTGCATTCTAACATTAACTTAGCTCTCCTTATTAGCTAGGCTCCTTACATGCTTGCTAATAACTTTTTTTAAAGCTGATTCTCTAACATTTACAGCGCTGCGTTGGACAGATTTGTGCCGCTGTGTTCATGAGGGCGAGAGGGCGACGGCGTTGATATTGTGGCAGGCCGCCACAAATAAATGAACGTATGGGAAACACTGGAAGCTGTGGTTGAGGATACAGTCTTTCCACCACTATTTGAGTACTTTTTAATGGCATGAAGGCATTTTTTGTTTGATTGCTTTATAAGGTTAATTTAAAATAATGATTGGAACATTTTTGAGTCTGTCAGTAGACTTGTCTATATTTTCAATTTGACATATGCTGTTCCACCGTGTTGACTTCTGCCCGGCCGAGACCGCTAACTTCCAGTTTAGCCCTCCGCTAATTTAAATGGGGATAAAATGATAATCTTGCAGCTCTTGTAGACTTTGAAAATGATAGGCCGAATCAAAATTTGTGAAATTTGTTATCTCATGGGGTTATTGGCGGTAAGTGGAGAGCAAAGCCCACAACTCCTTCAGAGGAACAGCACTGAGCCACTGGTACAGGTATGTGGATGATGACACTCAAAATTAAAACCAAGGAAGTGCAAGCCTTCACAGAACACATCACCTCTGTGGACAGTATCATCAAGTTCACGCGAGAAGATGTCCACAACAACAGTTTGGCTTTCCTGGACTGTGCTGTACACATTGCAGAGGACAGGAGCCTGCAAATTGGGGTTTACAGAAAACCCACAAACACAGACCAATACTAACTTTTCGATTCCCACCACCCACTGGGACACAAGCTGGGGGTCATGAGAATCCTGCACCACAGAGCACACAACATACAAACGTGCACAAGCCAGAGAGAAGGAACAGAACCGACGGGGGCACTTACAGCCTGTGGATACCCTAAATGGACCGTTGTGAAAACAGCCACAAGATCCAAGAAGAAGACCAAAACTACAGGGGAGGAGAAGAAGAAGGTCAAATGCAACAACATTGTGATTCCATACGTATCTGGAGTATCAGAAACTCAGGAGGATTTTCAACAAACATAACATCCCTGTGTTTTTTAAACCCAAGAACACGCTAAGACAGATGCTGGTCCACCCCAAAGACCGCACACCCAAACACAAGAAAAGCAGTCTAGTGTATGCGGTCCAATGCAGTGAGGAATGCACAGACCTGTATATTGGGTAGACTAAACAACCACTACACAAACGCATGGCTCAACACAGAAGGGCCAACTCCTCAGGTCAAGACTCTGCAGTCTACTTACATCTGAAGGACAGAGGACACTCGTTTGAGGATCAATAGGTGCACATTTTAGACAGAGAGGATGGATGGTTTGAAAGAGGTGTCAAGGAAGCATCTACACCCGGGTTGAAAAGCCGTCAACCACTTATCCCCCACTTACAATGCTGTCCTTTTATCACTTCCCGGGAAACTTAACAAGCACTACCTCTACAACAGCCAGGAGCACTAACGAACCAGAGCTGTCCTGGCAAACAATCCCACAGAGGTTAAATAGAGTTTCTCTACTAGTCATTTCAGAACTGAAGAAGTCTCTCGGATGAGGGACAAAACGTCTTCTAGTATCTTCAACCAAGTCCAGTTGCCCTTGACTTTAACTATGACCTGGATGACTGAGAACCTTCACAGACAATAAGTTACTTCTTTTCTTAGTGATCGGTGAAAAATGTAGTGATGTTTCAGTGAATGAAAAGCTTCAAACATCCATACATAATCTAACTATGTGGTTCAATGTACAAAAAATAGGGAGACTTGTGATTAAAACCCCCTCAGTCATAAAAGATAAATGAGAAAGGGAAAAGTTTAGGATGACTGACAGATGACAAAAAGGAATGAAAATGGAAAAAGACAAGGGATGGATCAGGGAAGGAAATTACATTTCAGAGCAGATTAAGTTAGACAGCTGTCTGTAACCTGTTTCCATTTATGGGGGGGAC